CCAAAAGTAGATTTGATCATATTCATTTAGATATTGTTGGACCTCTTCCTGTATCGAAAGGACATCGTTACATTTTTACAATAGTTGACAGGTTCACGCGTTGGCCCGAGGCATATGCATTAAAGGACATTTCAGCGGCAGTGGTTGCAAATAAATTTTTTAGAGAATATGTTTCACGTTTTGGGGTACCGTTACAAATCACTACAGATCAGGGTACTCAGTTTATGTCAAAATTGTTTTCGGAACTAACAAAATTGCTTGGTAGTAGTCATCACGTTACAACACCTGCATATCATCCTCAAGGGAATGGTATGGTAGAACGGTTTCACAGGCAGTTAAAAGCTACGATAATGGCTCGAAATGGAATCAACAATTGGTATGATGAGCTGCCGATAATACTTCTTGGTTTACGATCGATGTATAAAGAAAGTATTTCAGCCACATCATCTGAAATGGTTTTTGGGCAAAATCCGCCTACCCGGTGAACTTGTTGTTCCATCTGAAGAAAAATTTTCCCCAATTGAAGTTTTAGGTAATTTACGGGAACATTTTAAAAATGTTAAATCAAATTTAAGGCCTAACAAAATTCTGATACTGGTGTATATTGACTTGTAAATTTGTTTTTATGCGTGTTATTAATAAAAGATCATTGCAACAACCATACGAAGGACCTTATAAGGTTGTTGAAAAAAACAAAAAATTTTCAAACTTGAAGTAGATAATGAGGTTAAAACAATTCCGATAGACAGACTAAAACCGGCAATCATTGAAACAGAACTAATACCAGAAACAAACACTAATACAATGAATAACACAACATCAAATAAGAAACGAGTTACTTTTAATTTATATAACATTAATTCTCTAGAAGGGGGAGTATTGTAGGGTTTGTATTTGTGTTATTACCTTTTATTGTACTGTGTTCATTTCAACTTTGTAATTTTGGAAATTTTGGATTTATGTGATTTTTGTGGTTCGTCAATCAAACAGAAAATTTTCATTATTATTCAAACTTTTCTCGAATTGCTAACAACATAAAAATAAATTAAGTTTTGTTAACTTTTAATAAAAATATTAAAAAAAAAATCTTTGGAATCAACTACAACATACAATACATGAAGGCATTTTTTGTTAACGGCATCAGATCTGCACCGATCATTCGATTTTCAAAACTGAGGTTCCAAATTAAAGACCTTTCCTCTTAATGTACAACAAGGTGTGACTTTTTTGACAAGGGTTGCCACGTTTTTTTAAATTCTAAAATCTGCACTGTTCGTTGTATTAAAAAAGATGAGGTGTCAAATAAAAGGGCTTGGCCTCTAGATGTCCAAGAAGGTTTAACTTTTTGAATAGGGTTGTCATCTGCTAAAAAAATCATAAGACGTACACCGTTCGCACAATTTTAAAAAATTATATAATATGCCATATAAACGGGCTTTGTCTATAGATCTACAGGAAGTACGTCTTATATTTTTAAAAAGAGTTGCCACCTGATAAAAATTATTTGTTTTTTGTCCAGAACATAAGCTTTACACCGTTCCCTTGAGTTTCAAATTGATGCCCTTATTGTGATATTTTACAACAATTATATTTTAAATAATGCATTTTTAACAGCAACCCTTAAAAAAAAAACTAAAGCACGTCCGAAGTCAGTCCCTTTCATATGGCCCCTCATTATAAAAACGAGAGAACGGTGTAAATCTGGTGCTCCAGGTGGAAACCCTTTTCAAAAAAATTAAGATGTTCTTCCTTGCAGATCTAAAGACCAAGCCCGTTTATATGCCATATTATATCATTTTTTAAAATTGCGGGAACGGTGTAAGTCTTAGGATTTTTTAAGCAGGTGGCAACCGTATTAAAAAAAAATTAAACCTTCATGTACATCTAGATTCCCAGCCCTTTCATTTGACACCTAAATTTAAAAAGGTGGCAACCCTTTTCAAAAAAGTCTTACCTTGTTGTACATTTAGAGGCCAAGCACTTTAATTTGGAACCTCAGAATTTGAAAATCGAATGTTCGGTGCAGATCTGACGCTGTTAACTAGAAATGCCTTGATGTGTCAACAAAATGCAAAACCGCGTATCAAGATAATGCAAAACTGCGTATGTGGGGTTGCATAAATTATTTTCTAGAGAGTAAAAATAATCAATTTCAAAATGGTTATCTTTTTTATATTTCAGGACGAATGGATAAGGATTGAGCCAAGAGCTTGTGTGAGCAAATCCAATTTTTGGCAGCAAATGTCAGTTACGCGGTTTTGCAGAATGACGATATGCGGTTTTGTACCTTAAACGACGATATGTACATACACATATAGATATGATCTAACCCTGGTATTTGTGTATTAGGGTGTTATTAGAATCCAGATAGGAGAATCAAAACCATTAAATTCGAATATCCAAACTTTGGAATACTTGATTTGTAACTTTGACTCAGTTTTGCCACAAAAAAATTACCAAATTCCTCAAAAACAAATGAAAAATCCTCAAAATCCGAACAAATTACTCAACATTTTCTTATTACAGATATGAGTATTGTGTACTACATACTATTTACAGGTACTTGGAATAAAAATTAATTACATTCTCCAATTCGTTTGGTACATTTGTTCTTGTGGATCGAACAAAGTATCACCGTTATTTTTTATGCCTTGGTTTGTATATGATATAGCTGCACCTATATCAGTGCTCAATCTGGTCCTCAAGTCAGTCCTTCACATTTTTAAAGTACTAAATATACGTTCTACTGAAGCATTAGAAAAGGGCTATATTAGTAATGCAGATATACATAATATTTTTTTAATTTTAAAACTTATATGAACCTGAAGATTCTTTTTATTCAAAAACTTGTCTCCTATAATTTTCTGGATCTAATGAAGAATCAATATGATGTGTTGGTGTTGGTTGATTTTTCCGACAGGGTGGTAAGATAATTTATTTTGGAAACGAATTTCCGTCATCCCTTGTCAAGCTTGGTTTGCAGACATCTGCGGTGTATTCTCTCTCAGGCGGCCACGGTTGAAAAGGAAAGCCAAAACTTAAGCGCTGATAAAATTACTAATTAGAAGTGCAGTGGAAAAAATACAGACCCCACCATAAACTCATGGATTTAGCTTAAAGAATTCAAAAATTAATTAGAGGAAAATCCTTTTATTGAAAGCGCGTATTTTACAACGCTTGCGATGTTGTGTGTCCAGACACTATTTTAGCTATAAAAGCTTTGCTTTGCAAAGTTCCTATAAAGTCTAGTGCATAGCATAGGGCGACACCTACCGACGAGGTTGCGAGGTAGATGTCGCCCAATGCACTACGTACGCTACAGCGGAAATGGACGACACGCCATTTCTTTAAATTAAATTAATTGGTGCTCGTATGTATGTACTAGGGATGTTGCGAATGTGGAATTTTAGACATCCGCGGATGCGAATGCGGATGCGGATTTTTAAAAGCTAACATCCGCGGATGCTGATGCGAATGCGGATGTCATGTATTTTTAAGAAATAATTTAGGTGGGTAAATTAGGTGATTTGGGTAAATAAAAAATGGAAAGGTCAATAATTTTTAATAATCTGCCTTATCCTGAGTTTTGCCCGAAAAGAAATTCACCCGAAAATTTGTATTCCGCCCATAGTAAATATGTACATGAAAACCAAAAGTGAAAAGTGAACCGGTTCGGGGAAAATTAAACTCATGATAAGACTGAATGTTTTTTTAGTACTTGAATTTAAAAATTGGAACATTGTACTTAATAAAAACTTTTTAAAGGGTCGTAAATCAAGCCTGCGCCACTACATAACAACTCGCTCGAGGCGACAAACTTGAAACTTGGCAAAATTGTAAATTCTTTTCGATTGACACCGCACCAGTTGAGAGGACTTTCAGTTATATTTATTTATTTTTATTGGAATATTTCAGGGACCGAAAATAACAGTTATTTTTTCCGAGTTAAATTTGGCCTAATATTTTTTATTCCGAAATAAACGTCCTATCCGGATAATAAAGAAACCGCTTATCCAAATTAAACAAATTTGGTATCATATGAAAGAGGACTGAAATAGCTTTTAAACAGAAATAACGAATGACGGTTACCAGTTCTATTTATATTTTTTTATAACTTAATACTAAAGAAATTCATGTAAATACATACCTGAAACAATGTTTGTTCTATGGTAATTAATTAACATTTTTTATTGAAATATTTTTCAATATCAGGCATTAGCGCACACAAGGGGTGGATTTTGGGGTTCAAACCCTCCCTAAAGCCAATAACCTCAAATTCAAACTGTATCTTAAAGCCTAAAATCCAGCTCTCAAGAAAAATCACAAGAAATATTTTTTATTATTTCTGTTTCTTGAATAAATAAATATGAGAGCATTTTTTATTGAGAGCTGCAAACTGATTTAAGAAATTTTGATAAAATAAAATTACTTTTCCATTTCGTGTGCGTCCTTTTATATTAATTTTTCGTTTTTCTTAAGAGCTCTTAAAATTTTAACTGCGAATGAAAACATTGTCCTAAAAATATGCAATGCATACTCACTTACTGTTGTTTTTTTCTACACTTTGTAGTCTAAAAGAGTTTACCACTGATATGTACTTAACATGGATTCGAAGATTTAATTTGCCAACTTCGAATTCGTTCCACCAAAATGAGCTACATAATAAAAATACAAGTTCAGTTATTTTTTATAGAACTTTATATTAAACGAGTAATTTTCAAACTACCGGACGACCCTTCAGGTACCCTTTACCGATAAAAAAAAAGAATGACTGAAATCGTGGTCCAAAGTTATGCGGTAGCATACATAAAATAAGAAAAATATATTCCGACGAATTGATAACCTCCCCCTTTTTTGAAGTCGGTTAAAAATGTTTGAGTACTTTGTTAATTTTATGTAAGTAAAGTGCAATTTATGAAACTTCAAAAAGTTTATTTATTTTTTACATAATAATAATAATATAATAAATTGGCGCTTACACATATTTTAGTGTGCTTCTCCCCCGATTTGTGGCGTGCGCCTTGATGTTGTCAAACAAACCGGAGGGACCTACAGTTTTACGCCGACTCCAACGGCGATTGTATTTTTATGAGAAGCTGTTTTTCATGGCAGAAATACACTCGAGAGGTTTGCCATTGCCTGCCGAGGGACGACCGCTGTTAAGAAAAAACCTTTTTTTATATTTTTTGCGATGCTGCTTTGACCAGGGCTTGAACCCAGGCGTTGCGGAGTGGAAGCGCGCACTGCTTACCACTACACCACAGCGGCCAGAAAACTTGCACAAATATTCTTTAACGAGCATTTTATCTGAATTTTCAGAAGTATAAACCCCTCCCAAAATATATTCCTGGGTGCGCTCCTGATGTGAGGCTTTCCTCTGTTAGACATTTCAGTTTTAAAGCTATTCAAGTCCTCTTTCATTGGATATCAAACTTGTTTAATTTGGATAAGCGGTTTGTTTATTATCCGGAAAGTACTTTTATTTCAGAATAAAAAATACTTGGCCAAGTTTAACTCGTACAAAATAACTGCAATTTTCGGTCCCTTCAATATTCGCATTCGTAAAAGATCCGCATTGATTAATGCGGAAGCTCCGCGGTCGCGAATGCGAATGCCAATATTCGCAACAACCCTGGTATGTATATACATATGTATATGCATGTGCGTGCATCAACCTACTAATATCGTTGAATTATTTTAATGTCTATTGCAAAATTTTATACAGACAAGACTAACAGTAGAAAATAAATAAAATAAAAAAAACTTTAATATGCGTGGTTTTATAAATGGACTAAAAAGTAACTTTTGATTTGAAATTTTAGCAAAAGTCATTATAAACAATTTATGAGATTGAAAATGAAAAGCGGGGGGCGCATGCATATATGTAATACTCCTATATTGGCAGTAAGAGCTAGTACCGTCCGAAAACACAGATATATCAATGAAACCGTACAAAAGAAAAGGAACGCATACGTTTATAAATAAACATATACATAACACATACACAAAAACGGCACTCACGTACACAATACATACCAGGGATGTTGCGAATATTTGCATTCACATTCGTTATGCGAATGATTCGCATCATTATACATATTCGCATTCGACATTCGCATTCGCATCAAATGATACGAATGGACTGCGGACTGAATCTCCCCAACCACGTCCTTCTTCTACTGGAGCCTCACTAAATTCCTGTTCAACAGCTTCATCTCAACCCTCCACCACATCTGAAGCCATCTCCGATTGCGTCAACACCGTTCCAATGCAAGTAGTCGTTGCTCCTTCCAAAAACTCCACAACTACATCTCAACCCCCTACCACATCCGAAGCCATCGTTGCTCCTTCCAAAAAGTTGACAGCTGTTCCGCAACCCCCTGTTCCGCAACCCCCTACCACATCTGAAACCGTTTCCGATTGCGTTAACCCCGTCCCGAGGGATTTAATCGTTGTCCCTTCCAAAAAATCGGTCTTTATATCTAGGTTTTCAAAAGATACCACTGTCGATGATGTGAAGGGGTATTTAACTTCCAGGCTGATAGCAAATGAGTTGCATGTACGCAAGTTCAGATTCTCGTATGAAAGAAGCATTTCTTCTTTTAAAATAGACATATCCGAAGACTGCTTTGATAGAGTAATGAGCCCATCTTTTTGGCCAAGCGGTGCCTTCATTCGCGAATTTGAATTTAGATCTAGACCGCAAGGGCAAAATTTGGCTCAACTTCCGCTTTCCACCTCGGCATCAAAAAACTAATAAGTAACCTCACCATTAGCATTTACTACCAAAATGTGAGAGGTTTGAACACAAAGCTATCAAGGTTACACTTGCAGTCCTATGATTTTGACTTCAAAGTACTGGTGTTTACTGAAACCTGGCTCAAGCCGAATGTGTTCAACTCGGAAATTTTGTGTCCTAAGTATGAAGTGTTTCGAAACGACCGTTTAAATAAAAAAGGTGGAGGCGTCTTAATCGCTGTCCAGACTGACCTTTCTTCTGAAGAAATTGAGTTCACTGACACCGATGAAGTTGAATTCCTCTGCGTTCGAATAAGATATCATTCTATTAGCGTTTATCTTGTTGCTGCTTATATACCACCTAACTCGAGCCTTTCTGTTTATTTAAAACACTCCTCCTTACTGCTCTCTCTACATGCCATGGTGAAGCCCTCCGATACTGTTATTGTCCTGGGTGACTTCAATCTTGCGGGTGTTTCTTGGGATCTAATAGATGGTATTCTAGTACCAAATTCCTCTCGTGATCTCTTCAATCAATTTTTGAACGATCTGTCAGATCTTAGTCTTTACCAGATCAACTCTGTTAGTAATAACTTAGGTAAATGTCTGGATTTAGTTTTTGTGGACGATGTTTCCAACGTCACAATAGCCCCTAGCTATGCTTTGATTACCCCTGTTGATTCTCACCACCCACCACTAGAATTGTCCTTGATAAATTCACGCAACTCATGTTGCTTTATCAGTAAAAAATCAAGAGCGGAGCGTTACTCATTTAAAACAGCAGATTATAATAAACTTAGGTTAGAGATATCGAAGATAACTTGGCCCCAGTATGATGGGAATGCTGAAGATAGTGCCTTACATTTTAGCAATTCCTTACGCCACATTTTCAGTAAAATCATTCCTCTTGTTAAGGAAGCTAACGTAACGTCTAACGCTCAGTGGTTTACTGGCGAATTGAAACGCTTAAAAAATCAAAAATCCAAAGCATTTAAGCTTTTTAAAAAATCTGGCTTGTCTTCTCACTACTCCGCGTACTCCATTCTTAGGCATAAATACAATGTATTGAACAAAAAGTGTTACAATAATTATATTAACAGGGTTCGACTCAATATAGTTTCTAATCCCAAATCGTTTTACGCATTTGTGAACACAAAGCGTAAGACTAACGGTTATCCCTCAACATTGAAGTTAAATGACTTAGTTTCCAGTGACGAAAATATTATTGCCGATATGTTTGCTGGTTTCTTCGAGTCAAACTACTCTGCCAGTTCTACATCTTCCCAACTGAATTCGAATCTATCTAGCTACCCATTCGATCTGCCATCATTTGATTGTATCCGAATTCCATCGATATCTGCTGCGGACGTCCTCATTCATTTGAATTGTTTGAAAATTTCATATACAGCTGGCCCAGACGGTATACCCACAAGTGTTCTTAAAAGTTGTGCAGAGTATTTGTATAAGCCTCTGGCAAATATTTTTAATGCTTCCCTAAAACAGGGTGTCTTCCCATCT